AAGGAATTTGAGCTTTATTCTACAAATACTGCGACGTGATAAATCAGTTCATTAAAATAAGTTACTTTTGTTTGTTTCAAGAATTAAAAGGATAACAGTAGTTCTATTAAAAATAGCGAATTTAACGTGAACAGTGACTGTGTGATATGAGTAGGTGATATGCAGGAATGAAAAGGTTGTCAATAAACGGTGAGATGAGAAGGTAAACAAGGCCACTTATGAAAGTGAGTGAATAGTTGATAAAGAGAAATGATTGTTTACTGTTTACTGTTGGTTAGAGTATGCGAAAGTGGGTTAGTTGTGGTGGGGAGAGATGAGATGTATTGAGGAGAGTTAAGAGTGGATTAGTATAAATAGCAAATAAAATGGTTGGAGCAGTGGATTATGATGAGAAATAGATTTGGACAAGAAGAAATAGCAAGAGAGGTGAGTGAATAAGTGGCTAACTCTTTCAGAAGTCTCTTCTCTTTCTTTAACTTCCGGCATCGGTTCAGAAACTAATAATACTTCGATAACTTTGTTAAATTGAAAAAAAAAAAAAAACTTCGATAAATTAAAATATAAAGTTTAGGCCAGAAATTTAAATCTGCAAATGAATTTGTTCGTGTAATTCTTTCTTCATTCTCCACAAGATGAATTATTACACTTCAATTGATGACAAAATTTTCCCGAACAAAATCTATTAAAAAAGTTTGTAAGAACTATAATTGAGTGCTTGTGATAGATGAAACAATAAATTATTTTGGCAGTGGATTATAGCGCGAAATAAATGTTCCAAACTATTAACAAATCAATGCTATTCTAAAAAAACTAGTTCTAACGAATTTAAATAGATCCGATCATAGCAATAATGAATACATCTACCAGTTTTCATGATAGCTTAGCTTCTTTTTCACTTGGATAACTATTGTCAGCTTATCAAATCATGTAAATAGTTTTTTTCGGACAGAAAAAAAATTTATTATGCAATGAATTGTAGGTAATTCTCCAAAAGAAGTTTTCATCTGCTTTTTTAGGTTAATAAAATTTATGCAGGGGTGGAATAAAAACATCATTTGTGGTGTATAGAGGAAAATGACAAATTCTGCGCAGCAATCAATAATAAATCACTTTCATTAGCTCAATAATTTTTTTTATTCAGTAAGCAGAGAAAAGAAATTTAAATATGTTACTAATTATGTTTGCAATGTTTCTGTGAAAAGAGCTTTAAGCGTCTTAAACTTATCCTTGGCAATAAAGTAACAAGGAAAATCATTAATGTTTTTGAATTTTCTCGGTTACATATATTTTATAAGTACTATGCAATTTAATAAAATGCGTAGCCGAAGATCACTGTGGTCATCATGACATTACTTAATTTTAATGGAAAATACCATAAAGAAATATTACCTTGTTTTGTTAATTGATAACAGTATAGCAAATCTTTAAAATAAAGTAACCTTAAAAAAATCTTTGGAATCTTTTTTATTGATTCGCTTCAGTGATTCAGTTTCAAAACATTTTATGAGTTTAGAAATTCATATGAAACTATTAACAAAATATTTTTTAAATAAACTAACTACTTGTGCTAATTTCTTCTATATCCAATCACTTTTCCTACATTATGGGAAAAATTGTAAACTACCTTCAAATTTTTAAAAATTTATATTAAAATAATGACCAAAACTAGTTAAAATTGTTTGGGAAACAATTGTAGTCCCAGATAGTTGTTATTATTTTAAGTTATTAAATACTAGAGTACTTGTACTTAGTAGCTTTCTTCTATATAAATACTTAAATATTTACTTCTTCATAAAATATTGATTTTTTATGAATCTCTGCTGGTGGTCATGCAAGATTGCTTTGAGTAATGTTAAGAAATTGAAGCTTAATTTCATAAGCTCTTTTATTCAAATAAACCATTCATTATTGAAAATTGGGACAATTAAATTGGACATTTCAAGTGAGTTAAATAATTCATGATATTACCGTAAAGTACCAGTAAACCATAAAATGATCATAACTGACTGCAGGACAACGGTACATAACCAACCAGTTGCTTAAATTTGATTAATTTATTGAAAAGAGTAGTAGCTAATAGCAACTAATCATATCAATAGCATCAATGTAATCATTTGATGGATGGTCAAATGATGAGATTGTAATGAAAGATATAATACTTGCTATTTCAAATTAAATTTAATTCTTGTTTTTTAATGTGCAGGTGAAAATTCATGCCATATGAGATGTTAGCAGTTTGAAGAGATTTTTCAGAAGGAATGAATCATATTCCAATTTCAGATCTTTTTGATTCACTAATCAGTTTCTTTCCCTATTTTTGAAAAAAAAAGTTTCCTTTGTTTTTAAAGTAAATCTATTTCATTATTATAATTTAAAATACCTCTCGAAAATATGCTAATGAATATTAACTTAAGTTTCACTCAAGAAAAATTTTTCGAGAGAAATTTGGCATTCAGATCATATTCAATAACACAAATTAGATTTGCTTTTGATTACCTATCATACTTGAAACTGCTTCATCATATGACAAGTGGAATGAAGATGGAGAAAGGGAGAGAGTGAGAGAGAAAGGAAGAGAAAGCAAGAAAAAGTGGAAGATGGAATGTTCTATTTTTGCAAAGAAACTTAGAAACTTTGCTCTATCATAGATATTTGGTTTATCACGACAATGAAATTACCATTTTGCACTTAGAAGCATATTGAAAATGAAGATAAGCATACCTGAATAGAATTAACACTGAAAATTCTGAAAGATAATACATAATTTCACTTCACGAAGTTTTATTTCTGATATAAATTTGACTTTACTATAAGTAGGATAAGGAGTAAAAGCTTTAATAAATTAATTGAAGAAAGAAATTTGCAAATGGCATGTTTTTTTTTTTTTCAAACTGATTTACTATGAATCAATTTAGGTGATAAATGGACTGAGAAGAACAAATTCAATGAAATCAATTATCATAAACTAACTGACGAAGGAATCTCAATTCACAAATTTATCACTTATTCACCTGTCTTCTCTTTATTGATAATTATGTAACTGTTGAAAATTCCTGCACTACTTTTTTATGGCTTCATTATTTCAAAGTTTTTATTGACAAGATTCCTTGAATTTTCATGAATTTTTTTACGAATGCAAAGTCAGTTTGATCGTTTTAACATCAACGACGAAATGAAGCACGTTTATGTGCCTTCTGTACCACTTTCAGTTTACTGTTTACATGTCCTTGAAGAGGTTCAATACCAGTATATGGCGGATCTTTGGTACCATGAAGCATAAGGGTAAATTTCTTCACCATACCGTGATTTTTGTAGCTGCCCTATAAAATAAATCACTAGAAAATCCGCTGAAATAGGGGAAATATATGTCATAAATATTTAATGTTAACTACACTTTCAAGCTATTATTTTTTACAAATAATTCAGATCCAATACTAATTCTAAAGAAAGAAATAATTTTAAAGATTTGAAACAGAACGTTCAACTTGTAGTATTTTAATGTAATATATAAGGAAAGTTTATAATATTAATAGAAAAAAAAATGTATATATGATGTTTGATAATTCACTTGGAATCGGACAATCAAGCGCCATTTGCCGCGTGGATTTTCACCCCAAGTATGTGTGGTCATAAAGGGCCAATTCGTGAATCCATTTTTGTTATCATTATCTTTTGGACGCCGAGACAAAATCATTGTTCTGTAGAATCGTTTTGAAAAAACATTTGAATATTTCAAAAATAAGCAAAATTACATTTGTGTACTTCTCCAGTTATCTGATCCTATCGAGAAATTCCATTTATTCTTAATATTTTTGAATTTTATCCACTTTAGCATTCGAAACTTCTCATTAAAAAAGAAAAAGAATTATTTCGGATGACATAGATGACATAAATATTAGAACTTTTTCACGGTATAAAAATCCAACGTTAATAAAAACATGAGGTTGTTAATTTTTCTATTTCGATAATTTAACTTTTCAAATGTTTCAAAAAAAAAACACACTGTGTACCAGATGGAGACACTAGATAAAGAGTAGTGTCACCACGTCGGCTGCTATTTAAAGAGACAACGGCTTGTACGTGTTCCAAATAATTAACTTCTGTCGGAGTTCCCAAGCATGCATCAGTAATCAATTCCAGTACAAGATTTCCGGTCGAGGGAATTTCGCTAAAACATTATAAAGAAGTTATTTATGATTTTTAATTTTATAATTTCTAACTTTTAAAGCATATAAAGCACATCAGCAATTTATCATCTAAATTCTAATTAAATAACATAGTAAACAAACGGCGGGTCCTTGAAAGATTCATCGGATAAAGCGGTATATCCCATTCAATAATTAACTCTCAAATTATAAGAGTAAATCAATATTTACCGTGATGTAGCAATAGTCCCCGCTTCGCAGTGGAATCTTGAAGGCACAGTCTTCCAAACCATCGCCAACATAACCATTTCAGCTGCATCCAATACACCAAAACCGAACAAATGATTAAATTCCAAGCCAACGCCATTCATTTTCCACTCAAAATGAGTGCAGTTACTGATACCATTTATATTGTTCCCGTCGCCCTCCTGAAATAAGCAATTGATCTCTTGAAAGAGTGTACATCGGTTACTATTGCATTAGTGATCGTTGTGACTAATGTATTTCAGTCAAAAATATTTCACTTGATGTATACCATCATGATTATAACAATTTCACTTTGTAATTGATTTAATTTAGCGGCTAATCGAAGAGAAATAAAAAACTTCACAATTTTACTTCAATGCCAAGATCTGGCAAGTCTCTGCATCGCCCATCAAATAATGAATTTCGTGTTGATGTCAGTACTGTTAGATGTTGTAAATCACGCCTAAATACTTTTAGAAATTTTCATGAGTTTTTAAGATTAAATCTTTTAAGAAGTTCATAAAAGAAAAATCTTGTAAATTTTATTTTTCAAACGTGTAAACAAAAATGCAATTTTAATAAAAATCAAAACAAATATCATAATGAAAAATGCTTTTATACCAAGTAAGTAATGGATTTGCTTCTAGTGCCAGGGCAAAAACACCAGCTGCTTCCGGTGCTGCTGCCGATGTTCCACTATGCGATCGCGTGCAACGGCTATACAGATCCGTTGTTGCTACCCCAGTTTCTGGATTTCGTCCTCCGTTCGAAAATGTTGAAGCCAATGTAGAAGAGCAACTTCTGCAAGTTATCTTACAAGAATATTTACAATACTTGTTATACAACTAAATGGTAAATAATGTCTTAACAAATAATCTCTTAACAATATTTGTATTATTTGTTACTTGCTATATAACTAATTACCCCAGACAGAATTTTGCCCACATTTTCTGGATTTCGTCCTCTGTTCGAAAATATTGAAGCCAATGTAGAAAAATTTCTAAATATTTCATAGCTATTATTTGTGTTTGAATTATATAGAAAGAAGCCTTTCTGACCTTTCGTCAAAAGTTTCTAATGGCAAGTTAATCCCTTAACATTTCTGATCAGTCGATGCTATTTTTGAGCATTGCCCATCTTAAAATGTTAGGAAATCATAGTTTCTGTTATCATATAATGAGTACTCGTCATAGTGCGCATTTTCACCACTGTTAATTGCGGAATTAATAGATATTGTCCACATGGAAGCAGCATAACCATCACAGTTGCAGTCGTCTTCCTCACCGCCATCTCCACTTGCCCATACAAAAATTGATCCCAAACCATTACGTCCCTGAAGAAAGGATCAAGTTACTCTTCCATTTTAAATTTCAGAATTTTAAAATTCCACAGCTGAAAATTAGGATCCCTTAGAACAATTAGCTAAAGAGCTGCAGAAGCGTAACTAGCCTCATTAACACCTTTGACGATAGCACGCATTGTTGCATTACGTGGTCCATCTACCGTTTTCCCATCATCAGTAGGTCCCCAGCTTGCCGAATAAATATGAATCAAATTTGGCTCATGGCTCATTGAATTGGCCTGAATTGAATATCATGCAAGAAATATTAATTTCTCAAACAAAATTCAGTCAATATTTACAAAGAAAGTTCCAAAGTTTCAGCTACTAAAGTGTACTCCGCTCTTTCATTCTCCCTATTCTTTAATCATGCTTAAAATACTAATTTCATCATGGAACCTCAACACACGCATACTTTCTATTTATTTCAGTACACTGCAGAAAGTTTTTCATTTAAGTTAAAAAGTGAGCATTCTTTCTAAAATTTACCAAAAATTTTAAAACTTATGTGACACCTCGATGAGATCTGTCATGTAAGGTTGATCCAGCATCCGAATACCAGCTACTTTACTATCATAAGCAACACCGACGCCACAAATACCATTATCACGTGCTGCGGCTATTTCACCGGCACAGCTGTAATTAGAATTGTCAAAATTCAATTCGCAATAAAGAAATACATTTTCAGCTATCATTGCCATATTATAAGGTTTTTTCTTAAGCTAATAATGAATGCCTGGTAGGTATTATATGCCTAACAGGTATGATATTATAAAGGACTCGTTCAGCGATCAAACATATGGTTTTTAACCTAATCCAAAGACGTTATTAAATTAACAATGTCCTTGCAATTAAATGATAATTTTGAAAAAGATGATAAAATGACATCAAATATTGAAAAGAAGGAAGTGTAGAAAAATAGGAATGAATTAACAAACCGTGTTCCGTGTGAGTTGAACCAGTCATCGGTGTACCTTGGATATGGGAATGGGTCATTAGAACTAAAATCGTAGCTAGCCCTTGCATTCTGTAAAAAAAAGATAAGATAATGATAATTCCGAACAAAGAAGAAAAAAATACAAATTAGGTTGAACACAAATATGCATTGCAATTCTTACGTAGGAATTAAAGATTAATTATGAAAGCTTTAACTAAGCGCCATGTAAATACTCTGAAAAGACGAAAAGGTGATCTCATTTTATTAGTGGAGAAATGCTAAAGTAATAAGAATGAACTTTTTCCAGAAAAACTTCTTTATTCAGTTATCTCAATTTCTTCCTTAAAGTAAATCAGTAAACAAATCGATATGAAGATACGAATCACTTGAAACAGACGTAGTGCATCACGAAAATTTGAATTGTATTAAATTCAGGTCTTGACTTGGGCATGTAAAAATCCGAATGAATAAGAAACTCACAAAATTATTCGCCAGATCCGGATGCATATAATCAACACCATCATCCATGATAGCCGTTGTTATATTTTTACCAGTGATACCAAGTACCCAAGCTTTTTCGACATTTAAATCTAGTCGTGGTTTACCGTTCGCTTGTCCAACATTATTCTTTAAAAAAAAAAAAGGATTTTAAAGACAGTTTGTATCTAAGTGTGGCTATTTGATGAATAAAATAATTTAGAATATGATGCAGGCTGAATTGCTAATAATTACTCTGAAGTTAAAAACTGAAAACTAGGTAAAGGTGTGTAAATGTATGTACGCTTACCAAGTACCACTGATATGGGTAGAGCGGGTCAGTTGGTGATTGTGCCGCAGTAAAATCGAGCTGCTCCTGCAACCGTTCTTCCAGAGCTCTAAAAAATTTCTCATTTTAGTTCATCAGAACTGTGATAGTAATCAAAGCATCATCTATCATAAAGAAATTGAAAAAGTTCCATCGTGTCCAAATAGACCTATAAAAAGACAGCCTTGCAAACAGAAGGATTTTTAGTATATAAGATTTGTCAAAAGAGTTCAATTTTCAGAGTAATCGATAATCTCCAATTAAACACTAAACCAGCATTACATTTTTTAACTGTCATAGCTTAAGTTAATATAGACATATTATTAAAGATGTTCACCTATATCCTCTCTTCACACGTTTGAAACCCGTTAACTGTTCCACGTGCACCACCTAAAAGTAAGCAGTTTCTTGCACAATGAGCAAAACCTTTGATAGTGCTTGCTTGCATTAAATGTTTCCCAATAGACGTATTGTTTCATTTGAAGTTGACAATATTTTTCTCGTTGAAATATTACTTGATCAAAAATCAAAAATAAGAATACATTGGGAATTTTCAGCACTTTTATGAAATGAAATTCTTTAAATGACTCACATCACGATCGTCACTTAATTTTTTATAATGAGTGTAGGAACGCTTTGTTCGTGCATGTGATAGGGCTGGTTGGACGAAATGCCAATCAACGGTGGAGCCAAGAACCTTAAAAAAAAAATGATAGCTATCCATAACTCAGTAGAAAATTTTCGAATTTCGCTGTGAAGTAAGTATAGAACAATTAGTGACAAAAATAAGTAAATAAATGAATGATTGTTTAACTGAACTGAATAAGATAGCCAAAACAACCCGAATCACTGAAAGATTTATAAAACCTTGCCTACAGTACTAACTTAATATCACGTTCCATCTATGCGACATTCCAATGATGACAATAAATGAGGCGTAGCAATCTCAAAAACAAGACTAATTAAGCCATGTGTATTTATATTGTTGTATATGCTTGGTATAGAGAATCATACATACATTACATATATATATAAGCTCCGAAATGCTTAGAGTATAAAATCTTGAAATTAACTTACTGATCCATGATTAATGAAGCCATGTCGTTTAGCTATTGAATGGGCATTCTCAATGCCTGGTTGTCTGATATGGACATAAAAATGATTAGTATATATTTCAACCGCATTGACAGATGTACAAATTATAAACAGCAGAATACTGTATGTGCTACACCGTTGCCACTTATGCCATCTTCTCATATCTGAAAATTAATGTGATCACAAGTTGCCATGCAGGAAATCATTTCAATTTATGAGCAATATTATAATTCACTTCATTCTGTTGACTTTAACTTCAGCAAAAAACAGAATCAGAAATGTGAAAGTAAGATAAGAAAGCAGCATGAGACATTAGACCTTCTTAGCACATCGCTGAAATCAATAAATAAGCTATAAAGCTTGAGGCATAATCAAATGAAAGAGGGTTTGTAGGCTTTTCACGCATGCTGGGCTTCCTTAACCGATACTTACGTTATAGTTTTTTTCCTCGTTATTTGAAATATCATTTGGATTAATTGCAAGATATGAAAACAAAAGAAAGTTGTCCAATTAACTGCTAAGAGACAACGCATAAATAGATTTTATCAAAAGAATATTGATATTGTTGTCTATTACCAAAATATTCCGGCCAAAGAACAGGTAATAATTAAAAGTATTGTACTTTTTGCTAGAATAATTTAAAAAAAATCGACTCATATATAATTTATAGTTAAAATACGATTGTAGTAAGAAAAATGAACAAATACATCATGTGAATAATTTCTTTTATGTTTTAGTCATAATATATTGTTTTCAAAGTTTTGTAAGAGTTTAAAGTTTTCTGGCTGACACAATAAAATGATCCTTTAATTACGGCCTCGATTGCCTTTTGTTAGTGAAAAAAATAGTGATAATGGTTTGATTCTGAACGAAATCTTCATTTTTTGATTTCTCTAATATGCTTCTATAATGTGAATTTTTTAAGAAAGTCAATCTTAATCTATTCTCTACGGTTTCAATTATACCTTAATATGGCATTTCGTATACAACTAAATAAAAAAATTAGTTGCGCAAGAGGATATATCCAAGGATGTCAACACCTGAAACTGTCATTTCAATATCTCTACTTGCACAATATTTGCGAGGCTATTCAAACTCTTAAAAAATGGACATTTTCTAAGAAATAAGAATTCATGAATAATTAATGAGTTCGATTAATAATGGCGGCGATATTTCGTATTGCTTTTCAATAATCCCAATCGCACTTTCTAAGCTAAGGGTAGCAAGAATTAAAGAAAGGCATGAGTTAAGTTTTTTTGTTGATCTTATTGAAAAGTTTTTCTCCCTGTTCCTATTCTATGTCCTATTCATTCTACTATGTAGTTTAAACTGCAAAACAAATGAATCAAATGAAATAAAAGAAATGTATGCGAGGCTTAGAGAACTTCTTTAGCCAGATTTATAAGAGGTCAATATTAGTTACTTTAATACTGACTCTAAAATTCAACATTAAAAATCATCTGAAGTAATGCAAGAAAGAAAACGAGATCTTGCCCTATCCTACTGCTTTGGAACATTCCTATGTTTAATGAAGTGTGTAACCCCAAAAGCCTTCCACAAATTAGGTAACACAACGTTAATGCGTTAGAAGGCATTGCATTCCAACGATGCCTTTGTAAGAACGTTTGTTGATTAAAATCGATATTTGGCTTAGACCTGATATAATAATAGCCTCAGTGCAAGTGCGGGAAAGGAAATGAAGTTTTGAGTTGTCAACTGAGTTGAATGAGAATGGAAGTGTTGGTGATTGGATAGGTAAGTTTTCATTCAAAATAAAGTGTATTTTAAAATCTCATTGCTTTCATTGGTAACATATTTCATCTTTATTACTCCTATTTATCATTGAAATAACAGACCCAGTAAATAAAATTTTCCGAAATTCAATAAGCACTAAAATCTGTTTGAACTATGAAAAGAGTGTACAAACAGAACGTAATTGTATGCATCTAATTTAAATTTGAATCCGAGTGCATTTTTGTTTACAAATTTTTTAAGTTTTTTAAAAGACCTTTAGTATTCAAAAATATATTGATACCGAATTTCAACCTAGAACGATAAATTACACATAGCAAAACTTAAACAAGAATTTTTATAAACAAGGTCAGATAAAAAAAAATATCCAGAATGATTTTTCCATCAATTTTCGTTGAAAACGTGCAATTTTTATGAATAAATCCGAAAAAACAAAATATTCATTAATTGATTCTTTCATTCAATATTTCAGTAGCAGCTAAAATATTAATACCTTGATTACTGGTAAATCGCTATTAGAATTTCCAGTATTTCGCTGATAAATTATTGCTAAAGTCATCATGATGTTAGTAATGTATAGGTATTGCTTTAATGGGGCTACTATCAAAAAAGAATAAAATAAAAAAGTATAAAAGTAACAATAAATGAATTAGAAATGAGACCTTTGGAAATGTAAATTGAACAAAATTACGGAATTCTGTGCTTTTAAGGTAAATTGCATAGAGCTAAAAAAATTTATCGATAAAATACACAAACAAAATGAGAGAAATGGCGATGTGAATTAAATAGTATTTATATGATGGTGCGAACTGAACTAAAATAAAATCAACGGAATGAAATAAAAAGAGACATTAGCATAAGAAAAATGTTAGGTAGGTCTTTTAGTATGGAAGTATTCTGGTTTAATACATTAGATAAAGCCAAGAATGGTCAGGTTTTTAGCACTTTTCCTGAATTGATAAATCTTGGGGCCAACTTGCAGACGTCAATATTTCTCGCAAGCACACTAACTGTGAATCCATTTTGTTTGTCTGTCTAGTACTCTCACAACCTTCAATACATTTATCAGACTCTTACAATTTGAAAAAAAAAATGATTATCTAGAAGAGCCTAAAGGACGAAGAATCAGTATTGGGTAAATAAAAAGAATGTGTAAGTGTAAGGGGTAAGTAATGGAGTAAGTAGTCAAGAAAGACATGTGACTATCATTGTTCTAAACATCTTTTTTGTCCTGTCTCTTTAAAACTATAACTAAAAAGGCTTAGATAGACCTCATTAACATTAGCAAACAGCATGGACAACAAACTCTCGCAAAAGACTAAAAAGAAGAGAGCGCTGTTGATCACCGCATTACATAAATCTATTCTCTTCTCCTTGGGCAATTAAACTTACTGGTAAGGCATAATGTGTTAACAAATTCCTAAACATCAAACACTGAACTAGCAAGGTGCTAATTATATTTATGCTTATTATTCTGCTGCTTATCATTAGCTGCTCAAAGGTAAAATATCAGCTCAGTTTGAAGTAAAAGGGGAGAGCGAAGAAAAAAACGATGAACATTCACTGCGAATAAGTTGAAAGCTAAATCTTCTATGAAATATAAGCAACGCATGCCCCAAAGGCTAAACTGCTCAACTTAATTTTTTTGAAAAAGATAAAATTTTATTACCAAAGCTATTTCCACTACTTTTCTAAATTTGATTCAAAAAATATATGCAACAATTATTGGATTTTTCCATAGAGAAGTTATTACAAAATTTATTGCTATAATTATCAAAAGGATGTTATTTGCACGAAAGAAGGTTATCACTTATTAATATAATATCAACTAAAAGTCATTTTCTGAATAAAAGGGAAAACATATTAGAGAATTATAATTTTGTAACTTATTAGCATTTCGATGTTCATGTTTTTACAAATGTCTTTGTTGGATATGCTCCGTACGTGTACTGGATGTAATTTATTATTTTAGATATTACTAAATTTTTCTTTCATTAATTTATTCGATAACAGGAAAGGAAGAGAGAAAAGGGAAAAATGATCTGGTTGTAATGATACTAAGCTGCCAAAAAATTTGCTTAGGAAACTTAAAATATTAATTTACATTTTTTTACATATAAAATGTTGCCATAAAATAATATACTTTGCAATAGATAATTTACTTTATGACATCACTTTTTAATAATAATCTTTTTATAAATAATCCATTTATTTACATACTTTTTTTTAATTATGAAAACATCAGTAATTGGAACACATTTTACTATATTCTTCACACTGATCAGACAAAACACTTTTACTAGTGCATAAGCGCTCAAATGTGTCGAGTCTAATCATTAATAATGGCTTTTAGAGAAACTGAAAAAGTCTACTTATTAATAAAACAAATATAACCTAAGCAGAGTAATGGTAATAATGAATGGATGAAACAGATTATTAATTTTATCACAACTAAATTTCCGTTTATTAGTGAACTTATAATTATTCATATTTCATCGACCTAATTTTATTGAATCAGAAAAAACAAAAAAAATTCACTCATAAGAAAAAGATTATATTGATTCAAAAAAGAGTTTTATTGATTCATTTCACTACTACAATTGCAATCAGGCAAAACCACTGATTTAGATTTTTAATTTTTTTTTTAATTTACCTTCCTTTTTTTACTTTGGATCAGATTCATTTTTATATTGTTTTGATTGAATCTATCAATTCTGATTTCTCCCTACCACAATCACAACCGAAAAACAATTTTAAAGAATGGATTATAACTATCTTAAGTGCTCTTAGTCTTTTCATTTTATCATTTTAATTGAAAAGTTGTTGATAAAAAACCAATATCTAATCAAATCACATTCTTGATTGTCTTATAATTTACGCCAAAAGAATTATGAATTAATATTCCAATCTGAAGTACGAAACATTCAGTCTATCTTTATGATCAAATCAATTTTCTATTCAATGCAGTTATCGGTGCGCGCTTAACACTTATTATTCATTGTCACATAAATCGCTTGTCGCATGTTTTTTCAAATGTATAATTTAAAATGAAATTCGAAGCCTGAATTAGCATGTAGAATTTAACAATTTTAAATTAAGATCAAAATTTCAAATTTGAAGCTGAATATAACATAAAAGATCAAAAAGACAGGGAAGAAATTCGAATAGATTGCATCTACGCTTATTATTTACTTACTTTATTTTATATTTTAAGAGGTTCATTGTCATCGAGATTCAACAACTCATTAATAAAATTTTTATGAGATTTAAAATTTTCCATTGCGGAGGATATGTGACAAAAAATGAATGAAATTCTAACTTTGTTTCACTTTTTAAATAAAAATGAATTGAAATAGGCTGGGAAATTAAATAGTATCAATGGTTATCATTTTGTCACTTAAAATTAGGACACTAGTCTTTAAATCTATTGTTAAGATTATCAAATATATGCTACTTGAAAGAAAAATATGTCTAATAAATCTAAAATCAATCAAACATCATTTTTATAGTAAAAACAAGTTCGAAGTCATTAAACAGTTATTAGTGGCTTATGTTTATAAAACCCACTATCCTAATTAAAAAATATATTGCTTGTGCACAAAAGATCATAGCAAGCTGTCATGAGTAAGCTGTCAATTGAAATTCGTCCTTGAATGATTAAGCATTACTGGTGGTCTATCATTTATTATTTATATTTTTTAAAATTTATTCCACATATTTTTTAACTGTTTAAATTACCAAAATGATGTCAAATTAAATACTTAAATTTTTAAAAAATGGATATAATATCAAATTAAATTTATTGCTGAAGTAAAGATGAATTATGAATGCTTACATAACCTCAAAGGCACCACTAAATCTGATTGAAAGTAAAAGAATTTTATTTTCTGAACTATTTTTACTTTCATGTTCTTAATGCATTGACAGTAAGCATTAAAGAAAACAGCTTGGCTACCATTGAGAATACAGAAGGATATTGAGGTATATTTGAATTTCCTAGCAGTGATCCAAGAACTATCAAGGAACGCCCAACTTTTATGTTTTGAGTACGGAAAGTGAGACAAAAAAATTACCGGGCATAATGTTCCTAACAAAAAAATACACTTATTATAAAATATAATATGTACTGCTGTTATTTACAATTATCTACGTACTTAAGTAAAATCCACGTATTGTCACACCTCTACTTTATTAGTTTTTTTAAATCCTTTAACATCTATAAGGTATGGGATTGTACGTATCATCTTTTTTCCGTACTTATAATTAAAGATAATCTTGTTTAACTCCATTAGATACTGAAGAAATATCGTTACTTTCTGCATTAATATTTTCTCCTGTTTGACATTTTTATTGTTAAAAACCTAAGCTTTTTAATGCAAAGAAAATACATCAATGACAATAACAGCATTAGTATTTAGTATTTATTTAAAGCATTTAAAGGCACAACAAGGGCACAAATAAGTAAATTTTCAGAGAATCTCTTATTAAAACAAATAAGTTTCGATACCGAAAATTTCTTTATTTGCAAAAATCACTCTAATTTTTTGTTTTTAACACTCTTCCTACTTGATGTTTTGCTCAGATCACAAATAAGACTCCAAATAGGTTGTATATCTTTCAGGCGACAAGCCATCTCTGAGATATTTTCTTTGTCCTCGTAATCCACAAATATTTCACCAGAAGATGGAATTTCAGTTGTAGAATATAAAATATCCGGCTTTTCTTCTTCGTTATTATCTTGTCCCGAGGGTTCTGTAATTCGTAGAGTAGTAGTAGCATAAGTGCTTTTGTAGGACGACGCCATCTGAGACTGATAGTTATGCGAACCATCACTCCGTGTTACACCTGTAATGGTTGCTTTCCCATTATTTTCTGAAGATGGCAGCTTTGCTTCTAGATTACTGTTAGGCGAATAAAAGTAGATAATGTTTGTAGTGCTGAAATTGTAGGTTGATTCTATATATTGCATGATTAAATGATTGGGTACTAATGTTGTATGTACCAGTACAGCCACGGGAAATAGACTTTTTTAGTTGGTGCTTGAGTTGAAAATAAGGGGTGAAATTTTGGAACTTCCTTAGAAACTTCACTTATACGTCTTTCTCAATAAGCAATCTCTCCAAACTATCAGCTATGAGCTATATCACCACCAATAAATGTAAAAGAAACAGGTGAAATAGAGGTCTGATTAGTTCTGCCAAATATACTATATGGATTAGTTGTGGTCATACTGGAAACATCATTTTGTTGATTGGTACTATACCGCAGTTTATTTTTTCGTTGGTTAAAAATCTTCGCATCTTCACTTCCAGAACTAAAGCTATCACTCTATGTAATTTCTCTTCTATTGGTTCTATCGGATCCGCCATGCATTTCTTTATGGAACAATAATGTAATTCCCTTAACACCTCCAGTTACGCGTATCTCATATGGCTTACCTGTGGAGAAGCTAACATTATTGATGGTGCCATCAGTTGTAAATACCATTTCATTAGTGCCAAATCCAGTAGAGAAAAAAGCATTATTTAGATCTCGTTCTGTAGTAACACCACTGGTAGTTGTTGTACCAAGAAAAACGCTTGAATATGGTTCGGAGTTTGTTCTGGAGACAGAAGCAGCAGTTGAGGAGAGTTGCAAATGACTGTTCAAATTTAAAGTTAAGGTAGATTTGTGATTAAGGTCAGAAACTGATTGTGTGGCTATCAATTTCGTATATCCGTGTCTCCTTGTTACTAAAGACATTACTCGATATCTACCATTTGCTTCTTGATCGATTTTCGCTGTTTTTGAAGATAAAGTTGATGAAAGTGAAGGAGCTGTAACATGTGATTTTGGTATTTCTGAAGTATCATTCTTAGTTACACTGATTGCTGTGACGAGGTTTTGAGGTTTTGAGGGATGAGATTGAGTAGGAATGTATGTGAGGGGTTGAAGCCCATTAAAGTTGTCGATTTTATGACATTCTCTGACAAAACCATCTAATCCAATGGTCAATGCGGTTGTCTCAGAACGCCCATGATCATCAGTTGCACGAACAGTGGTACAATAACTATTTTCTATTTCTGCAGGTAGAATTTCTTTCATTAAGTTTATAACACCTGAAAATATTATAAGTTTTAGTCTTGCTATTCAAAACATTTCAGTATCAGCCACCATTCTAGATTTTAATTTAATTTAAGACCAGATTGAGAAGGAATGAGTCAAGATCCTCAAAACAAGCAAAATTGAATGGGAGTAATGTCTTCAACTACTTATTCAAGCATGTACATAATCATTCCAATTTGTTTAATTAATATATATAAAGTAAATCGTACCAGTTTTTGGGTTTATGCTGAAATAATCATTCATTTCACCGGAATTTGAATAAAGTTCGTAACGAATAGATGAGTGACTTGGAGAAATAGCCTGAATGCGGGCGATCTCGTCGCCAACATGTGGCCAATTTTCAGTTACAAGTGGAACATTGTAAATAGGAAATTCGAAACGCGGACGAAGAAATAGCTCCGCATTACCATAAATAATTTCGTACTCGATGGATTCAGATGTTGCTGATGGATTATCATCAATAAAATGGACAAATTCCTAAAACATTTATATATTTTGTTAAATTTCCTGTTATCGTGAATTATTTTCTTATATCTTATCCTTTCTGACCTGTGCTACTGTTTTTCGAAATGTGTATGAAGTGGTATTCTTCTATTTATGCTTTTATTTTGTCGATGATATATTGCAATGTTCAAACAAATAAAAGATATGGTCCTTACGCGATTCAGCATAGCTATATTCAGCAACTGACAACCTAGTGACAATATATAAAACAAAATACAAAAGCATTTGATTTCAGGTCAAAACTATGCATTAAAGGTTTTGATGAAATGAAGTAAATAGCGGAGATATTTGATTTCAAGATTATAAAAAATCGAGATATATTTAATTCCACTCTTTATGATATATTTCAGTTTCATTTTTCATATTTAATATCACATTTCTCTCACTCATTTACATATAGCTAACATAAATTACTGAGGCTGTGCAATGGAACCATTATTGAGAAAATGATTTACCGAATCAGTATTTGAAGTCCAAACGTGTCGCGGGTCGACTAGCCTTAGCGCACCATTTTTACCAATTTGATTTAGTCGCAATACTTCGAAATCGTGTTCTAAATCAGTTGGATATGGAATTCGTCCGTAGAATGATGTAAGTTGTTGCTGTGATTCACTGAGTCGAAATGATGCAATCTGTTGCCGAAACGGCTTCCCATCACTGTTACCACTTTTTTCTTCCACCTGAAATTCTCTTTTTTGACACGAAATGACTTGAATATTTGTTGATATTAGAAAAATTGCATTTGAAAGAGATATATTTCAAGAATAATTACTTAGTCCTTTCAAAATAACTTGAAGTTAAAGCATCTGATGAAAGAATAGTAAGTCATTTCTAAAATCAAGAAAAAAAATCACTCTAACAAAGATTAAAGGCGCAGTGGTACGCATTACCGCCTTTTGCACATCGTAATAAAACAATAAAGCTGGATTTGTATGAGGTGAAACCAGAAATTTAGTTGATGAAATAAACTGTTGGATAGTAAATGTTTGAGTATCTTCAAGCTCAATAAGTTCTCCATTCATCGAAGTCGTCATTTTGAAGTCACGAATTACTCTTTTCTACAAATAATTCAAATATGATTTTATAAAGCATTCTTTTCAATATTTCAATATTAAAATTTTTTAACAATATAATATAATAAAAATGAATCTATCATAACATCGGAAATATCCAGCTCAAATCAGAACTGATAAATGTGTTATTCACTTTGTAAATTATTAAAAACCAAATGTTATAACATTCAAATTATTGCGAATTACTAATGAATTAAAATTGCCTGTTCGAAATTAGTCGAAATATTGTACATAGCATTAACAGTTTTCCCGGACTCAATATTTGGAATTATGAAATGCAAGTCGGAAAGAATTCTGTCTTCAATGCCATTACCACTGATAACGCCACTAATTTGATAAGGTATAAAATTTTCCACATTATCTTCCGACAATACCGATATTCGGATTTCTTCCACTTTGATGTTCTTGAGATTCGAATAACTGGAATTGTGAAAAATTATGAATTCTTCATTATTTTTAAATTGTAATTTATTTTGATCGCTCGGACGTATGTTTAATTCTCATAACTTCCGGGTCTCAAGCATCTCCTGAATCAAAGCTAATGGTTTTTTTTTTCACATCTATTAGACATAGACTGATTTCATTCACATAATCTAGCTATTAGATATTTAAATAATTTGGTAGTTGTTGAAAATTTCAATTCTTTTTTGATTGCCTGATTCTCAACCAAAGTAAAGTGTGGGAAGAAGATGAAATAATTGATGAAAGTAGATAGTTCATACTGCAATACCACAATGTGCAGAACAACCTGCATGTAACGTAAGCCATTCCAAAGCACAACTAAAACATAACATACCCCGTGTTCATAAAAGCTATCATTATGTTAAATGTGGGCAGAGAAACATTTGATTTTTTCGTATTTTCCGAAAGTGCTGAGTTTGAGATGAAGTAATAGATTTTCAGCGATGGTCGAGGTTGAAGTACAACAGTCTGTGTTGCTATTCGTTGCACGCTTCTGCGACCATTTTGAGTAAATTTTAAAATCAAAATTGCCTAAAACTAAGTTAGTTAAAGTTCTTCTGCTAAGAATGATATGAATTTTTTGAAATTAGATTCTTACAAAAATGCTAGTACCGAATGGAAATATTGCAGTAACTAAATAAATAATGAAACTTGATAAATGAAAAACTCCAGGTTTAACTTCAAGAATAACCATGTGTATAATAATAAGTATTAACCCAAGCAATAATTAAAGAGCTTTTGGTATATTACTTTACAACCCATAACTGAAATATTTTGATGAGCTTATTTCGGAAAGTTTATGAATCAGAAAGTTTTCCATCCGTCCTTTTATGATATTTTTTGTGCTTGATGCCCGATTATTTTTATCTAATTCAATATTAATAGCATACCTGATATTCAACTTCACGAATCAGCCGCACATTTTTGACCGGCTTCAAGTTCCAGTTTGCGACAAATGATGTATTTGGTGGCAGTTTCGAAGCACGATCAATACTACCAATTCCATCTAACATAACTAGTCTAATCCGAAATTGTATGGGCGTTGTATCATCACTTGATACTGTGTCAGTATCACTTTGAATCATTTCTAATGTTACTTTGATAGATTCTAGCGGTTCGTTCTGAAAGAAAAATTATTTGCAAATTCCGGTCATTTGTGTTTATTGAAGATGTGTTCTATAACTAATTGCTGCTAATTGCTAAGAACACCCAAACACTTAATGAAGAATTTCCTGAGTTGTACAGCACATCAAACACATTGTTATGAGGATACTTTTACATTAATGAAAAATTAGTTCAAATATCATTGTTTTAGATTGCATATATTTAATTTCAAACCTTTTTGTTAGCCACTTTTAATCTAATATGAAATTCACTATTTTCATATGGTTTTTCGGGCGTTATCAAACTGTAAGCACAGGCGCAAATGTCGTCATAACTATTTCCAGGCGTCAAAGTTTGCTGTGAATCAGACATATTCTCCGAATGCCATGAAAGCAACTTTCCCATGTAATCGTGAAGCAAAGTGAATGGATTAGCAGCACCGTACTAGAAATCAATTTATCTTTTGTATTTTTTTTATTATTGCTCCATTATTTTCAATTTTTCACCTTTCCCATTCACAAAGTTTTTTTAAGGATCCCCTCAAGGAGATGTACCTGTCTTGCGAGTGTTTTCAATCGATCCGAGCTAATAATCAGTTCTCGAGTGTCTGCAAATTTCATTCCCAAAAAATTTGCTTTCAAAGAAGTACCCGGTGTTATAGTCCATTCGGTAACTGTAGAGTTCCAACGGAGGGCCAAAATTGAGCCTCCTTTCTCGTCTTAAATAAAGTGAAGAGTAACAAATTTAGTTCAGAAAAGAAGCAAGCGCTTGAAATGATCAAAATCAATGATGTTGGTGCTTTGAAACTGTTAGATACTCTTACTCAATTTAATTTAATTTTATTATCCCATTAAGAATTAAAATTCACCTTTTAATTTTTTGAATTCGGTTCCAGTAATTGCTAGCCCACCTTCCGATAAATCGGATATGCTCTCAAAAAAGTTATCGAACCACTGTATATTATTAATTTCTTCGAAAAACTTAAATGGTAGTAAGACCTGAAATAACTTTGCTACAAAAAAATTCTGAAATCATAAATTTCCTTCTTTCGTTACATCTTGAAATTAAATTTTATGAATGAAAGTGCAGCTTCTTGTGATATAACAAGATATCGCTCATAAGCATTTTTTATTGGAATTAGTGACGGGCAACAGCTAAAACAAGAAGAGAAAGGAATGAAGAAATCAAAATTGAAGTATGAAATGAGAGGAATGGAATCAGCCCTAGCAGAAAGTGTCCACTTCCTACATGTCCCTAATTTTATTTTTATCCAGAAGAAAATGCTAATAATAAAGGAAAGCATGACCAATAGGTCGTTCCTTTCGTTTTGAAGTTCCTAGTGCATCTGTAAACATTACATGGATCCGATTTCATTGTCATACAGAGCATATTATATGTCATATACGGCGATTCTCTTGAATATATCAAATTACAATTACTCACCAAAAATTGATAGTACTTTTCGATTATAGAAATATTAAGCAAACTAACATTAAGCCGTTCAAAAAAGTCCTTGTACAAGGCAATTACATCTACAGTCTGTGATGCTAATATTTTCAGCATCGGGAAATATTTCTGCAATATCTCATCTGTCTGTTTGTTGGCTACGGCAGGCTGAAATCTTGAAAATTTTGAGATTCAAAGATGAAAATTGGAAATAATAAGAAATTAGGAAAAATGGAAAAAGAATATTAGTCTGCTCAGTTCAGATTATTTAATCAAACAGGGCATTTAACTTTTTCTATAAAAGAAACTTATTTGATTACATTGAGATGGAGATTGATATTAAATTAAATAGATAACAACAAATTGACTGAAATAATGCAATTGTTCATGAATTGTCGAGAATATTATACTAACTGCTTAAAACTCAATTACCTGGTCAAAGAACTGCGTTCGTTGTTCACTTTCCCGTAAAGATTTATTTTTAGTGAAAGATCGCTGCTGTGATATCAGACAATGATTGTCGAGTAAAGAAACACATCTGTACGAATTAATTCAATGTCAAAATTAAGAATTTTCTTTTGAAGCAACTGTCTGTAATAGACTTAATTTTTATAAACTTAGAGATGTCAAGAAAAAAATAATTTAAAAATTCAACTTCTCAACTCGTTTTCAAAATTCAATCTTTCAAATTATTTTAATTGAAAATTATTGCAAAAATTACGCAAGAAATTGTCTGATTTTATGAAAATCGACCCCAGCCGTATGACACTCCGCAATCAGTACAATGAACATTGCTGTCGTTTGCAGCGATACTGTATCATTCGGAATATATTTCCAGGCACTACCGCAAGTTGATGCAGAAATGTATTGTTTATGACAGTGCTTCTTGATCTTTATTGCGCAATTGCAGTAAATAGTACTTTTAGTCCAAACAGACACTTCTTTGATTGCACTTTGAAGACCAACTGAAAAGGTATAAAAAGTTAATCTGTTTAATTTATCGGTGATTATCAAAATAATTACCGTAGGGCGATTTCAACTGTAAGAGGTGCATTTATCAACATTCTGATGAAAACACTTCAACAAAAAATTTGTACAATAGAATTTTGGAAAGGCAAGGAAGTTTTAAAAGTTTAAAAAGGCTTGAACCAATTGTCAAGTAGTCTTGAGTAGTCTTGAACCAATTGTCAGTCAAGTTATGAAATTTAAAAATTCAAAATTACCTTCGCAGAGATGAACTTTATCATCTTGCTTATGCCTGTTATCAGCCAATATCATGACATTCCGTGCATAATTTGATATCGAAGCTGATACCATATAAATATATGGAATTTGTAAAGCAAAAACAGTACATGGAGCTGTTTCCCTTGCCTGATTTAACACACGTGATAGTCTGCACTTTATATAGTAACCGTCACCCCGTCCTAATCCATTCCTGAGATCATCCTGTAAAATTCATTCATTTTCGTTCCATACTCTCTTTTTTATCAGATTTTCAAGCACAAAAATTAACTAACCGTTGCAAAAGTAAAAGGAACATATTCTTCATGAATTTCAACAGAAGGCAAAACAGCGATATTATCAATTGGACCATCCAAATCACTTCTTATCAACAATTTCACTTCTTTTGTACCATTTATAGGTGGCAGTATTGCAGATGGTACGAAATGAAGTTTAGGAAACGGCACCTGAAAAAACTGATGTGAAAAGAGAATCACTTTCATCCCTCCAAAATATTTCAACAGCCATGATCGTAAAATATTATGAGTATAAGGTACTCAAATTAGTATAAGAATTAGTTGCTAAAGGAAATAATATATGCATGTATTGAAATGAACAAAACAGGAATTCAACATGCCATTGAAAAAGGAAACTTTTAAAAGATTAAGTTTGAGTTGACCTTTTGTTGTTCATCAAGTTCTTCCACCAATAATTTTCCATCTTCAACAACTGGATAATAAGGTGAAATAATTGGAACAAATACTGCTAATGAGGAATTAATAAATGATGGCTAAAATTGAATTTTCACATTGTTATCAACTAAGTAAAATTGTTAGATAAATCAAAAAATTTGAAATTTTTAGCTTGATGCATGAAGCATCTTTGCATTCTGTAACAAGACTTCAGACTTGGACAAAGCATACCTGAACTATCAAGGTGACTGATACATGAGATGGAGATTTAACCGTAAGCTGATATGTTCCTTCAATAATCGAGAAAAATACAGCAGGTTCTGCAAGAAAATATGAACCAATCTCAAATAAATGAATGTGACCATATGATTGCTATCAAAAAGGAACATGAGTATGCATAGAGTAGGAAATACTATAAAATTAAAAAAATTTTTGTCCTATTGTTTTTTACCAAGAAATCTGAACCAATTTCTTCTCTGATTTATATATTTCTGGAAATTCAATGATTTTCAATTACCACCAGGTTTTGTCTGCCTCTTATCATCATAGCCAAGTATATCATTCCGGAGTATTATCTCCGCATCATTAACAATGTGAGTCGGATCTAACGCGCTCATTTCATCCATTACTGTTATTTGAAAATCGAATAAGTCCGAAGTAGCATAGTTACGATATTCTATCGTAAATAGTTGCTGTAAAAGATGTTTGATGCATGAAGAGAATAATTTAAGCATGCTAACATAAAAGATTTTGCTATTATTAAAATGATATCTATATAAGCTATCTTCACAGCTCAAGCAATATTCTTTGATGATGCCGCTGTTGTTAATGAAAAATTTGGAAGTGTATTGACAGGGGGGCGGGGAGGGGGGGTAAAATTGATTGGTATTGTTCATAATTATTTTACACTTCTATTCAAACAAAACTACAAATTTGCAGTTTCTATTGCAATTCAACAGCACCTTATTTCCGTCCAATAAAATCAGGTCACCAGCTGTTGTCCAATTTAGAACTCCACTTGGTAGCGGTCGATAGCTGAGGAAGAGTACAAGTATTGATTCTGGATTATTGAATTCTGTGATATTTTGCAACGGTGGTTTGGTAGATACCAAAAATAGAGGACTTTGATCAGGTCGAATGGAAATTCGTGGTGCAGCAACAAATCGATAGCCTTCTTTATTTATGATATTAACCTGACGTGAAACTAAGTGAGTTACTGAAATACCTAAGGAAGCAATTAACTGATTAAATGCAATAACATAATGAATGAAAAGTAAATAAATTTGGGAACTGGAACAGATTTTCCTACGAAATTAATGAATAAACAAGGAAACCGTAATAATCTTGGGCGACATTCGTGTTGGGATGGAAATAAGTATCTCCGGTGGATATGATACAAATATCGATCTTTTTCGGTCAACTTCTATTTGTTGCCTAAATTAAAGTCTAAGAGATTTCAAAAAACATGCCTGATACTTCTTAAACTGTACATTTACCAAATCAGTTTCAAATGTTAATCTTAAAAAACAAATCAAATTGATTATAGGCTCATTGAATTAAATTATGCCTTATTTTCAGACCTGACAAGTTTCTTGGGAGTATTAATACACTTGAATTGAAGGATAAGAGTAGTGTTATCGAGAGTATTACCAGCAACAAATGTAACTCTGATTGACTTTGATTCGCCAACTGTTATACCTTTTGTTACCTAAAAATTTGCAAGTATCGGAAAATATTAAAGGAAATTTCAAAAAAAGAAGTAATGAATAATATTCTACGAAGAAAAACTTGTAGTAATCTGTCGGAATCACTTAAGCATTTCTGTTCTAAATTTAGTTTTAAAAAACATAGTAAGATCTAAACCTTTTCGTATTTCGTAATTTGTATTTTATCACGCGGTACGATTAATTCGAAGTGACAGTTTAGAAGTGCTTCTCCACCTTTATTTTTTATCTGATACTCTTCATCAATCTGTGCGCCCGGTTTCATTTTTATTTTAGGAGCATACTTAATATCAAATTTATATGCAGGCCACGTTACATTATTGGATGATGTAGTGATAGTAGGTCTTGCTGCGCCAGGATGCACTACAACCTGAAATCAATCATTAAGTAAATGAAGTACGTGATACTAATAGAGCTAATACATACAAGATTTTGAAATTAGTCCATAATTCCAAGATTATTTCCTCCGACGATGGACTAGTCGACCTACTTTCTATTGCTGAATACATTTTGCCCAGTTGATATTTCATCCTCACTTTATTTTTACTTTATCTTCTTTATCAAATTTATGCTAATATTTCTCGTCGATTAGGGAAAGTATTGCCAAATATTTAAACAATAAATTCAGAAGAAATATAATAACAAATGAACGAAAACAATGCTCAGAGAAGGCAAAAGTAACAACATACCACAGATGTCGAAATTGTTTCATCGAATGGATAGTAATCAAAGTTAAAGTGACCATCGGCCCTGCTTGTTGTTAAAGCATTTCCTACCATATCGCCATTCTGGTAAACCAGCATTTCTACCGGAACCTCACCGATAAGCTGTAATGGCTTCTTAAAGCACTGTAGAAAATGTCACGAAGTACAAGTAATTAATTGGACAAACTTTTCTCAATTTAGAAATAATTACATTATTAACTTAAAGCATATATTTATGCTTGCTTTAGGAATATTTAGGTAATATTTAATGTTATTCTTCCACTATTTTGCTGTGATAATTAATATTTGAAATAGGAACTTACTTTTTCATTATAATTAACAATCCCCTTAATCACTTTCATATTTGAATCGTTAGAACTTTCTACTTTAGTAATCACTGGGAAATATGTCGGTTTAACAGTTAAATTCCAACTAATTGCACTTCCACCGGTAAGTGAAGCAGTGGTAACATTTATAGTATATGGTTGGACACGTCCGATTGGCCGTGCCCAAAATACCATGCCATTTGGATAAATTATCATTCCTTTCGCATCTGTTTCAACGTTGAATATCGTATTTTCTTGCTATAACAAATAGTTATTTACTGTATTTAATTAATATTAATTGAAATTTTAAATGTTATAGAAAAAAGATACAAAGAAAAAATATATTAGCAATTTGCTCTAACAATCAGCTCATTAAAGCAAATTGATGTTTCAGTAATTAGAAGTCAAGAAAAATATTTTCATACGCAATTCTCGCAGTATAATAAATAAGTTAATGTGATTCGATTTTAAAATAAATGAATGAGTGTTGTGAACTTTGCAGTATTGAAATTCACAATAATGAGTAAAGAGAGAAATCATATGGACAAATGATCTCTAATTTGCTGACTAAATATTAAATCTGGCATAAACTATATTTATTTCTTTTAAACTTCTTTTAAAAATATCAGCAAACCTGAATAGGCATTTTGACAGTGTAAGGTTCACCTTCTACAGCTTGTATTAATTTTTCATTACTCAAAATCTCACGATCCAACTTTGGTAGAACTTTGGTCTAAAAAATAGCTTATAGAAGAAGCTTTTCCTACATTCTAATGAATTAGATTAGTGTAATTGATTGCACGTCAGCAACAAAAATTCCAGAAAATATTTTTGTTGTATTCTTCGCTATAGCCAAAAAATCCAAGTTTTTTGTCTTCTACAGAAGCCTTCTAACTCTTCAAGATGAGGTATCGAGTTTTAATAAAACTCAATATTTAACTACAACTTGGACAATGCTACAGTGAAGTACTTAGAGAGGATTTATGAAAGCACTTTTTAGAGACCTAACTAGGAGAATTTATTAAAGTTTAAGCTGTAATGTAAAATGATCACCTGCTCACAAAATGTGCCATCGCGACCTGTCGGACATACACAAATTGCTCCTATACAGTAACCTTTGCACTCTGCTTGATTGCATTCATTGTATAAAGTGAAGTGGATCTGTCAATAAGAATATTCTGCCCAAATCTTAACTCAGCCAGAAGTAAGCAAATGTTATTTTAATGCTATTAATGTACTACTTCTCACCACTGCATTAAACACTGTTACCACTAGATTAAATCTGGCCAAATTTTAAATGAAATTAAATTAACATGCACCAGGCGCTTGTCAAGAAAAGGGACCACTTTGTCGGATCCATATGGAATGATATTGAACAGATAGCGGCCTGGTAAAGCTAGATCTGGAATTGTGCAGCGTACTAACGATGACGAGACATAAAAACCATCGGATGCTGTGCTACCATATAAGCACGTGTAACGCCTTGATGGTACACTGGAAATGTTGTCGTTTTTAAAAACTGAATGTATCGAAATAAATTTGTATTGAATCCATAAGATTAGAGATTTGACTAATTCTTAGATAAATGTTGCAATTGGAAATACGTTATCCAATATTTATCTGCAGAGTCTGGAATTTTACAGTTTGTTAACAAAGAATATTTGCATTGCTTACGTGTTGAAAATTGCTCCCAATTTTATTGTCGACATGTTTGGCAGTTTTTTATTCTTTACTCTGTTAACAGGTTGTCAGCTCTTTGTTTCATCTAATTTTCTATTTTGATATTCATTCTTATGAGCAACTGATACAATGTTAAAATCTAACTCTTACTGTATAAAGAGTAAAGATCATTTGACTGGGGCAGTTTTTTACTCATAGTAATCATGGACCTTTATTGTAAATCACTCCTATTCTAATGGTTGAATTGGTGAGAACCGCTTCGAACACAATGCGCTTTCTCCGCTCTTCCAGATCTACTTCCTCAAACTTTCTGATCTGCCCAGTAACTTAGATGAACGATAATTTTCATTTCAATAAAATAAAAATTAATCAATCTTCTCTGCGAAGCATTCCCTATTCGGTTCTATAGTCTGTATGAATCAGACCCTGTTTCACAACAATTATAATCCTTGCTCAATCTGATCTATCATTTATTTGATAATGAAATTTTCCATTAGCTACAACGCTGATATTAAAATGATTGCAAGAAGCATAACGACTACGAATTTTCCGGTTATTTCAAGAAGATTTCAATGTTTAAATGATAAAAATTATTCAGTAATTTAATTTTACCGTAAGCAAGTCATATTTCTTGAAGCGTAAAAGAAGCTTATACTGGTGTATCAGTTTTATGCAAAAAAAAAAGACTTCATAAAATTCATTCGTCACTTTATATATTTCTTAAAAACTTACAAAGGTAAATCATTGCCATAAACTAAAATATTTTCTCCCTTCTGATGAATTCCAGCGGCTGTTGGTAAAACATACAATACAGTTGGCATAACGTCACATTTATCAGTAGTACAAATGTCACAGTTTGGACCAGCCCATCCACTACGACATATACAAGTTCTAAATGACTGTTAGAATTTTCGAATATTCAACAAATTAGTGAATAAAATTGAAGATAGGACAACTTTTTCATGTATTTCATCCATCAAAAAGTCGGCAACATGAAAATAAAACAGTAACCTTTATTGTTTTGTTGATATGTCATCCACGTTTGGTACGTTAATGCAGAATGGTGATGTAATTTTTCGAATTCATTTTTAATATTTGCTTATGTTTCACTGCACTTTTTGCTACTTTTACTGAGGTTCTTTTAGCTTAACTTCTAATTTCAAAAAACTTTTTCCTCTTAGCTTCTTTGCTCTCAATATCAAATAAATTAACTAAATTGTTTTTCACCAGTGAACTTTCTTAAAGTAAGCAGCTTTTTGACCTGAATGCCGTAAGTTTCCTAGCAATCATCCTATGGAAGTAAATTGGAGAATTTCATTTCCAGAAATGAACTCATCGATTGCAAGCTTTAAGTGTTAGTGAATTATTAGTAATGCAGATCTAGTATACAAAGGATAAAGTTTGAACATACGTTAACTTCATATTGCAGTATGATATTAAGAAGACAAACTATTAGAAAAAAAAATTAGAAATTAAAAGAAAGTGATAAACCTCGTATTCAAGTTGCAACGTCCGTGAATACATCTGGCATCACAGAGATCGCAAATTGGACCCTCACAAATCGAGCAATCATCTCCAGTAAATCCATGAAAACACTCGCACATCTGAGGCCGAACACACGTGCCGGAACCGGAGCAGTTATTTAACTGGTCACATAGTGCAGTTGAGCAAAACGGTCCCGTCCAACCGCTTTCACAAACGCATGCATTGTCGATGCATAAGCCATGATTGTTGCAATTTATGCTTGAACAGTTCCAAATTTGTTTGCTGCAGTCAACACCTGAAAATTTTTCAGTTTCACTCATTAAAAAGACATAATATTAAAAATGAATTACTTATCGGCAAATTAGAACTTGAAATACTACTTGCTTCCTTTGGTAGTAATAGTTTCCGGAATTCATAGAAAGTACATCACTGATATTTTAAATGCATTAAAATTAACTAACTAATGGAATCATTTTCATTATCCTATATGTCAGAATACCCATCTCAATTGATGGATTTCATTTTTGATTTAGCGCTCCTGTTTTTTCCTGAGACTATTTGAAATATGAATTCAATAGACAAGGAACAGCATTATAATGTCTGAGCCTTTCAGACCTGGAAAGATACCAACCCTCAAACATTGGTTCACAATCACATTCATTGAGTGATACACAGGTACCATGCCCAGTACAATTATTCACCAAATGACAGGTGGGCTCCGAACAATCTTGACGCTGAAAGCCATCGAAGCACTGGCAAACATTTGGTGCTATACAATAACCATTCCTTGAGCAGTTTTTTAAGGCTGAACACGATATTTGCGCACAATCAGGCCCTGTATAACCAACATTACAGCGGCAAACATTTAGACCTAAAATATGAGAAGGTTTCCCTAGAAATTTGCAAATTAAAAAGCCCACAATTTTAAGTCTTATATCAATTAAAAAAAGTAAACAGTTTACCGATACATTGTCCATTATGAGAGCAATTTGAAACAGACAAGCAATCTTGAGCAGCTCGTTTTCGGCCAATTGAATTGATTTGTGTTTGATCTGTATTGAGAGATTTTTTTTCTAATTCAAAAAAAAAAAATGTTATTTACATAATTCAGAAGAAAGTTGATCGGTTGAGAAAAAATCATATGAGGTAGAACTTAAGATCATTAATTGACTCCCTAGAATTTCAAATATTTATTGTAATTAGGATCAGTATGATACAACCTAAAGAATTCTAACTTTTCAGCTCCAAAACGTCTTCTTTGGCTGTAAACATATCAACATCTTTCCAGTAGTTCCAATCAGTATTTATTATCTTAAAAAAGATTGCTTCAACAATATTGGTGACACAAATTGAAGACCAAAAAAAAATCGTTACAGTTGAATAAGTGAATCCTTTTGATTCATTCTATTGATATATATATATGAAAAATCCCGAAAAAATTGATAAATATCAGGAATAATACGGCACAATATCTTTTATATAACCCAAGTGTATGTTTACGAAAGCAAAAGTTTGTATACATTAGAAACAACTTCCTGCTTTCACTATTGGTTCGCTACCTCTCGGTTGGAAACAAAATTAAGGGCTCGCAGAACATGCATAAAAACTTTTTTGCATAAAAAAAAAAGTTCTGCATAAAAACTTGGGCGTTAAAAGCTAAATTTTCATTCTTGATTTTTATTCCACCCTCACCTTGATCAATTATTTGTTTTTTATTTTATAGCGGCCATTATGTAATAAAATTTTGTTCAGCAATTACTGGAACAACAACAAATTATATGAGTCAAAAGCGCTTAAACTTTCATCTCTGTAAACTGTTTGTTATTAAAGCATCACAAACATTCCATAAGTCATATTGATGTTGTAAAGTTATGCACAACTCAAATACAAATCACTTATTGACTCATTCTTTGAATTATCTCACTTACAGATACATATTTTTGAGTTCTTAATGACACATATGACATGAAGGTGGTTACATTTCTAGTATCGACGCTATAACTTACTTCTTTGTTTGCATGTTTGCTGACCATGTTCTCGAATTCGTTACCACTCACGTGAAAGTGAGAAGTGGTAACGATTAGCGAGTCACGAGAATTTTGATTCCCGCTGAAACGATTGTTCTGGATGGTACCATTGAATCGGTTCATATTTGTTGCCGAAGCAAGCAATGACCATTCACCTTTGTTTTCCACAAATATATTCTGCGAAATATTGACTGCTGGGCCAGGTTGTATATTCTTGTATACATGAAATCGAATTGAAGGTATAAGAAGAAATGATATGAATGATTTAAGTAAAGATCAGAAAGTAGAAACCCGAAATTGTACCACTGGCGATACGTAAATGGCTAGCGTTCCTTTTCGTCCATTTCCATTGTTTCTAATGAAAGTATTTCGACGTATTTTCGTATTCTCACAACCTTCCAACGTTATACGCATTGCTAAATTGTCATTCTTCGAGAAATGATTTTTTTCAATAAACATCGTTGGTACCCTCCGCTTTTTTCCACTTGATGGACACTAAAATAAAGAATCGCTTTGTAAAAATGACGAATGGTACTTATATTTTTACCATTTAATTATAAATGATAGCCAGCTAACCTTTGAAACTATAATAACAGATGGAAGCATATTCGAAGCAAAATTTGAAGTATTTAGACAAAGCGAATAATAGGATTTCATATTGAGTAAAATACCGCCACTGCCCCGTTCCTGTTTTTGGACTGTTAGATTGTTGAGAACAATCGAATCCAGTCCACTCTGTTCCCTCTGAACAATAATAATCCCGAATGAACCACTATTTTCCAACTGTAATTTGATTTTCTTTTTAAATTTTGTTTCTAAAAATTCTCAAACAATTTTCCAATCTTTTCTTTCATTTAGTGGTTTAAAAACTCATTTATATTTCAACAATAAAATATACCAACCACAATATTTTGCAATATTATTTTGCCAGCCGGATCCACAAAATCTATTCCCGCTTCTGCACAATCTATTATTTGAACATTTCTGAAACACATAATTTTGCGCTACTAAAAAACAAAAAGATTGAAGAATTTTAATAATATTGTTTAAAAGATTGCAATTTTTATTTGCAAAACAAAATCAATTTTGTATCCGAAAATATCTTACATCTGAATAAGAAAATATATTTCATATATATATAAGTAATTCCTTAATTCCACAGACGCAAAACTTTTTATTAACCAATCTATACAAGTTGAAAATTAGTAACCTTAGCGTATAAGTTATACCTGATAGCAAGAGTATCATTTATCTGACGTTTTAGGATCAAAATACCATTTGCGCGTGATTGCAGGATGACTGAATCACCCATATCAAAAGTACCATTGTATGTAGTTGTAATCAAAATACCAGTAAAGATCGGTCGTATGATTCGCATATTTTGAATTGATATATTTGACGAACTAACGTTCAACCCAACTTTTACATTTTCCAAAATGCAATAGCTTGCATGGATAATGCCACCTAGAAATCAAAGCAATAACTTTTTACTTATGATTTGATAATGTTTTGGATTTTTCCGCCTATCTAACTTAATCTAGAAGAGAGATTGGAATCGAAAAAATAGTATAATTACAATAATAATAATAATTAATAATGGTATTTTGGTAATGATATTGATATGGTATTTTTATTGAGAATTCATTTTTAATCAATTACGTCTTAACTTAAACTTTTGCAGTATGCAAATCACAGAAAAGTACAGTAAGGTACAATTTAATTTGCATCACATATTTAATTACATGTGAATATTTTTACTGAACTAATAAATTCCAAAAATAAAATATTTATATTTAATGAAGAAGGGCGTACCCTGATTGAGAATAATTCCAAGCCATGGTGCATGACCAGAACTTTTCAATAAAATTGGATGGTCTTGTTGGCCTAGCAAGTGTAGAACACCTAAATTTATTTTTTGATTCTTTTTTGTGTTTGAAATTTCATGCTGATTATTTTCAGTCGTTAATTTAAGTATACGTTAGAATGATTGAACTTTTGTTAACTTCTTGCCAACATATTATCCGATGTAAAAGTAATTCTGTATCTTATTTTAACTTAAGAATGACAAACCAAAAACGATGATTCCATGATTCGGTTTAAAATGTAACGCAGATCCTTTATGAAAAACTGCAACTTCATCTTTTCCTATTATCAGCGATGTAGCAAATCTAAATTTCTCTGACCAATTGAAAAATTGAGTTTCGAATGATTTCCTTGCAGTAGAAGTTATTGTTTTAAAAATTTGCTTCTGATTATCATATATATCACTAGTATGTGACAATATGACAATGGATAATGCAGGTAGAAAATTGATTTTGCAAAAAGTAGCATACGCTTTCAAAGAAGAAGGATTTCCTGATCGCTCAATGCCAATCGTCGGTAATTTTTCAAATTCAACACTCAGGAATGGCGTCGCAATCACAGGGATTAATGATTTGTCTCTTTTGTTATCGCAAATTCGACTCATCACCTGATAATAGTAATAATACTTGCCAAAAGCTATTATTAGATTACTTCCATGTACGGGAATAAATATCGAATGAAAGAAGGTGGAATTTTGAAGAAGACGCCAAAAGCCTAATAAATTCATATTATATTAATTTCCCATAAAATTAGAACTGAAAAATGACTTCTCCTTGATTAGCTGTGCCCCAGTAATTATTGATGGCATTGATGGATGTCCCTATTGATAGTTTTAGTCCAGAATGTAGTTCACAACGAGCCTAAAAAGTTTTCGCAATCAGAATTTAATACAAAAATCTTCAGAATTAATCAAAACACTACTGTTGTGACTTGTCACAACAGTAGTGATAAGGAAAGTAATTATGAGAATTAGAGTACTAAGTTTATAGCTGTATTTCATTTAATTCACAAAAAATCAAAAAAATTTCTTGAACTTTTTTACATTCACCTCAGAATTATGAAAAGTATTATAGGAAATGTTGACATAATTTGCCGCCAGATATACTGCATTCAAAGCCAAATTTTCCAGAAATGAATTTTTTGCAATAATAATTTCAGCATTTGTTGGCGTGTTTCTTGGTTCAGTTCGACCGATTAATAAAATGATTTCCATAGCGTTCCGTAAAAACCGATTATCATTTATTTGAATGCGAGCATCTGAAATTGATGCAAGAAAGACTGATCAACAATTTTTTTTAATCGTCCTCATAGACTTGAAAGTAAGAAGTTTTTATTACTAACTCGAATTATTTTGATAGATGGAATGCTCTAATCAAAATTCTGAAGAATGTAAAAATGTAAAATGCAAACCTTTGTCATTTTCATTCATTCCTAATTCGATAACCGAATTAAGTGTAGTATTAGAGTGGAACACATTTTGTCGAAATTTGTTATTTTCAATCAAAATATTCGTTTTTCCTTTGATTTTATCAGCAATTATGGATGCTCCTCGATTCCACATCCAATTTCCATTCAACAAATGCAAATTGCTATCAGTAACATCTCGAAAAACAATCCCACCATTATTACTCCGCCAATGGCAATCGCCTAATAGGAAATTAGCACCACTAATATTTTTAACCAAAATAGCTTCCCTGTAATGAAGATGAAGCCATGATTAGTCTAGTATTTAAAAAAATTCCGCATCCAATTTCCATTCAGCAAATGCAAATTGTTATCAGTAACATCTCGAAAAGCAATCCCACCATTATTATTTCGCCAACAGCAATTGCCCAATAGAAAATCATACCCAGAATTGTGAGCCTTGAAAGTGGTGGAAAAGCATTTAACTTGAACTTGTTGTCCGTTCTGTATTTGTAAACCATGCTGACCATTAGAGCCAAAAAAAGAATCATACACTTCTAATGTTGACCCATTTGCTAAGTATGTTGAGATGCCATTTTCGTTGTTAGAAAAAAATTGACTTGATATAACAGTGACATGAAGGGTTCCTTCTAGCAAAAGACCATTTATTTGATTTGACTCTGAGACTATCTCTTCTAGGACAAAATAACCCTGTAAAATATCACATAATTTTATGACTATATAACGACTTAACTGCAAATTATGACACAGCTAAAATAATCATACTTAATTCAATATCCTCTTTGATTACTGACATTAGCTTAATTAGTTGTTAATAAATCAATTAGTCTACCGATTCTTGTTTCGTAATTTTTACTGATACACCGTTTTCACGATTATTTATAGCCGTGATTTTTTTCAATGTATAATTGAATATTTTCTGAAACAATAAACATTAAATGAATAGTGCTTCATAAATTTTTGAGAAAGAACCGTAAAACTTCGCCTTAAAAGTGAATAAAAAAGGTAAATAAAATTAATGAAACTAAAGTTTTTGTAGTTATTTTTTTTTTTTTTTTTTGTTTCTTAAGCATGGTTGTTTTTTGTAAAAAGTTATGAGAAAAGATTGTTCATGAAATCTGATGACATTGAAGTCAGATTTAATGAAGCTTAATGAATACATGAAATATTTTTCGACTTGAACTTAAGCTATCATATTTGAAATTAGAAATGAAAGATAAAAACAATGTGGAAAAAACCACACTTACATCACCAAAATTATTATTTTCATTGTAGGCCAAGATTGTAAGTCCGTTATCATTATTATTACTAATAATGTTTTCTATCTGTGGTAATAGGGATGATTCGATACGAATCCCAAACTTGCTTCCAGAAACGCTTAAGTAAGTTAGCTGTGATTGTTCCGCTACATCTGCTGAAAATCAGATTACATTTTTCATTTCAGTATCAAATCATTTAATACTAAAATTCTAGAAGTAACGTGGTAAAGTTTAAAAAAGTTAAAAATTTGGCTTGTTTTTGGATGTATGTTCTTTTTTGCTGCGCAAAATAAATTACTCACCATTAGCAAATGTAATGCATAAGCCATTCCAAGTACCATTCATTTCATGCAATATAACAGGGTCATATTTGGTACCAGCGATTTGCAAAACACCTGAGGTCATTAATTATTTGTGTCACAAGTATTAGATTCACCAAATAGGGAAGAACTTCGAGAAATGAAGAACTAATAACAATCTTACCGTGCGCAATGATGCCAGTATTTTGAGAAAAAGTAATATCTGTTCCAGCATGTATTTTGAGAATTTGTTCAGCGTGGACAGTAATGTTTTTTGAAATACGATAAGGTGAATTTTTCGGGGTGAATTCAAGGACCTTCTCGAAATTAATACTTCGTCTCATTCTCCTGCGTTTCTCCAGCACCAAAAATCGTTGATTACGATGTTTTCTTTGTTTATGCAGTTTTCTTCCGTTCAAAGACACACATTTGTTATAAGTTTTTCTAAAATTTATAGTTTTAAAAATGAATTCTCATTCTGATTCTAAATTAATTCTGAGTCTTTCGTCATACCAAATTCCTATCCTCAAATATAATTGGCGCTTAATCTCAAAATTAATCGACAGTTGATGTGCTGAATTGATTTAAAAAAATAACGTCATATAAGTTCTTTGCAAGTCGGTATGCCGGCATGGTTGTGTGTCAACGTCAACAATACTGATAGGCTTATGAGCTACCACTGCAAAAACTGTTGCATAAATAGGAGAATGAAGTGTGAAATTGCCACCACTATTACTATAATGTAGTAAATACCATACTGAATCATTTTCACAAATCTTGTAGATTAGTTCTCTGAAATCGATCAAGCATGAATGAATAAGAAAGATAGTGAATTATTATGGTAATATGATCACTTTACCGGCAGTTTATTAAATTATTTTATCAAATTATTCTTTTGTTTTTATTAATTTATTAAATTATTTTTTTGAAACTTTGAATTCTAACAAAAAAAAAAAACTAACATTTCCTCAGCGCCAGTTAAAGGAGTTATACTATCAATAATCAATGAAGTGATACAATGCAATTTTGGAAAAATTAATTGAATATAACTGCCTAAGAAAGGCTCCCCTAAAAATGAAATATTTTGAATAAAGTAAAAATCCTGTTACAATTTAATAAGCTAAATTAAAAGAAGGTTAGTTGAGTTTCGTTCTAATTTAAATAAATCCACTTCGAGATAAGAGTATTTGATGTCTTTATAGTCTAATCCTTCATTAGTTTGTTCTAAAATATGAGTGAAAATTGTCGCATTTAAGCAGAAGCGAATTTAATATTCAAGTCGTCTTATTCTAAAACAACACTTTAGATAAAAAAAAAAGAAAAGAAATTTTGAGGTGTGTATTTTAGAAATTCACAGTTGCTTACTATCTTCAACATGAATCATGTGACGACCACTTTCTACTCGTACGATTGCTTCACTGCACGATTGCCTTACTGTAAAGAATTTCTGGCAATTTATTTTAAAATTTTGGGAAAACGAAAAAAAGGGGAATAAAATCTAGCATATTTAATTGATTTAAACAATTGCATTCTAAATTTGAATTGGTGTGTACGTTAAGAACATTATAAGAAAAAAGACCAAAATTGACTGCTATATTCCAATAAATATAATAATTTATTGGATAATTTCGGTAACTCTAAGCTTCTCCATTTAAGTACTGCATTTAGAGTCTCAAAATTCAAAAACCTATGAAAATTTTCATACCAACTTTATATAAAATATTTTGGATGAAGTAAAAATTGTGTTGTAATTTAATAAATTGAATTGAAAGATTTAAAGGCTAAAAAAAACCAATCAGTTAGGAATATAATTTCTTGAAAAGCTTACCAATCAATAATCCGAAAATGATCGTTGAACAAAAAAACATTTTCATCATGAAAGCAAAATGTTAACCAATTTTTGAAAAATTTTTTTAGTAATAGAAAAAGTGCAGAAAAATAACTAATTATCGAGGAGTAGTCTGGAAATTGCATAAATTCATGAATATTTATGTAATATATAATTTGTATAATTCGTTATAAACAAACTCATTTTTCTTTAAAAAAAACGATTAATTAGAAGTGAAAACTTTGTTGACAATCTAAAAAACTAAGTGGGGAAGAAATAGATTTATAAATTATATTTCTTAAATAGAAAGATTTCCTTTTAATAAATCATCCTTTTACAGCAGCTAAAAGATTGTTTTTTATATTCTGAATGCATCCTCAAATTATCAATTCATATCAATTTTGAATATTTCCACTTTTTCCCTGAATTTAAATCTTTGAGGACTATTGCAGTTTCTGTAAAACGTATAATTTTATTATTATTCAAAAGTACAAAATTTTCTTTCGAAAAAAATTAAAAATATTTCTCATAAATGAAGAAAAAAAAAACAAAATGAATGGATTAAAAAAAAAATTTTTTCTTAATTTAGCGGTAGTTAAAAAATGAAAATTGAAACCTTTTGAAGAGATAACCAGAAAAATGGCTCACAGTAAATTACTTTTATGCTTGTGCTAAAATAGTCTGTGTCAGTTTGAGCAAAAAAGAAATATTTGAAAAAAAAAAAAAACATGCGTATCTCTCTTGCAATAGTGAACAAAGCGGAAAAATTGCGCTGTTTATTTGTTTTTTTTTTTTTTTTACTTAAATATATATCATAACTTTCGGATTACACTTTAAAAGTATTGTCTTCCATAGAAAGAGGCAAGAATGTTTCCAACTGCATTCTAAATATTCCTGTTTCGATCTAAGTTGAGTTCTTATTTAGATTCCCTGTTACTAAATATTTGTCTTTTTGGACACTTCTTTCATTTTGCTTGATAAGTTACCAAGAAAAAAATCTCACATGTAATTATTTCAAAGAAAAGGAATATTCATATTAAAACTTCAAAAATGTTTCTGTATTTATATATTTCAGAAACATGTTTGAATTCCAAAAACTGCGTAATTATAAGATTTGCAAGGATGTGCAAAATGATCGTAAACTTTTTTTGAAGCAGCTGGAAATCTTTTGAATTTGCTGCAGAATAATTAAATTTCTGCAGTGAAGAAGTGTGTGCATTCATCGAATAGTACTATAATATGCGGAAGCATTTTTTAAATAAACTCTCAGTGAATACTTCCTCAATTGCAATGCAAAAAATAAAACTTTGGGTTGAAATGAACTTGTTTAATTCTAATTTGGCCTTTTTTACTCGTAAAACATACAAATATTTGTGTATTAAAGCTTAAGTGTTAAAGATTAAATGTTAAAGAAGAAAAAATTGTCAAAAATTTGTTCAACTTCACGATTTCATGAGAAATGAGTTCATTTAAATGGTGCAATAAGGAAAAAATAATGCATAAAGCAGCACGACGCGTAACCAAGGCGACCTAAATTTAAATGTATTTCTAGGTATCTCTCTAGCCAATAAATCCTTTCCAGTTTTAAGCAAGATTGATTATTTTAAAAGCTAAAATTGGTCCTCTTCTCTAGAAGCATATAAAAAGATTGGGAAATATTGAAATTCGAGAATGAATAAAAAGCATTTCAGGAAATTAATCAAATACGTAATTACCTTATCCGTAAATGTAAAATAAACCGCAGTAAGCTGAAATACCACGAATGGCAAAAGATCGTTTGTTAGTGCATTATTTAATTGTTATTATTTCTGGCAATTTTTTCAACTTTACACTCATTCAGTTTTAATTGTTTATTTCTCTATTAAAAAAAAAATAGTTAGTTGAACATTTATGAAGAATTGTACGCTTTCTCGGATCGCTTTAGTTAGAAAAGTAGTAAAACGTTGCCTTTGAAAATAATAAGTAGCACTTCGAGGAGGAAGGATAACAATTGAGAGAAGCCAAAACTAGTCAGAACTAGGCTGGGGATTCGGATTAGAAAGGATTGGAATGAGGCACGTCTTTGCTCTGTTGCATTCTTAATAAATTATGCTTATGAATGGAGCAACTTTTACTTCGTCGAATGCTTTGCTCTTCATTCGTCTCTCCTTTTTGTTATTCTTAGCAAGCAAGCTTCAGAGCTTTGCAATAACAAACTGCTTTAAATTAGATTTATATGATCTCAAGGCCAAATAGGCCTAGTTTGCGTCTGTCTCATAAACTGCATTGGCTGAGTGCAGGATGTATAGTCTTTCCGGACAATTATGCGAGCAATAATACGATAATTTGAAGTACCTGAAGGATTATATGAATTTGTCCTCATGTACTTCGCTTTGTAATAACCGAAGTTTTCATGATTTGATGAGAAAGAACTAATCGACAAGCAATGAATAAAATAACACTGGTAAAAAAGACTTAGTGATGATGAAGGAGTAAATAAAGTTTTGAAAAGGATATGCAACAAATTTGGATGCTTGAATTTTTTTTTTATTAAAATGGATACTGGAGTAATAGTGCAGGAGGATTGATTAATTTATATCGTTAGTACCTGGTGTTTTGCAGAGAAAGAAGTGAATCTGAATGTTCAAATCCGGAGAATTACTTTCTCAATTTTAAGGAAAATTTGTTAAATGAGATGATTTCCGAATTAAGATATATTTGGTGGAAGAAAATTCAAACACTGAGGTCGAATGGTTTCTTAAATGCTTTCAACTTATTTATTAAAAAGTGAAATCTAACATCTACTGAAATAAATTAAATTTTTTCAGGTGTAATAATTATTTATTATATCTACCGAATTATCAAGACAACCAAACATTTTAAAGGTTGGAAATTTTATAGGGGAATTAAATAAATTATCTTTTCCAAAGATAACTGTAGCTTAGAAATAAAATTATTATGATAACAACTTTATTTGTGTTTTTTTTTTTTTTAGAAATAAAAATATCAGCAACTAATGGCTCAAGTTCTCGAAATTAAATCCTTAAAATTAAAAAATATATGACAAACTACAAAGCATTAGCTGCTTTCTTTGATATTTACCTAATCATAAGATGACATTTGTGATTATATTATTTACATATTTTATTACTACAATTATTTCAGATTTGAAAAACTTAATAGTCAGACTATCCATACATGAACTTAAATGTTTCAATATTTGAAATCCAAATTTAATAAGGACAATTTAAATATGGAAATCATCGATTGAATTCCATCCTGTCTTTGGCGGTATAGGTTTCTCAATTCGAGAATAAAAAAGCCGAATTCCACTAGTGGTCAAAATATCCTAGTTGATATGCAATCGGTTGAATTATCGAATTTCACATCAGATATTAGTGTTGCAAGCTATTAAAATTTCCAATAATTTAATTCTGGCAATGATTACCGATTGTCGATTACTGATTAATTCATCTCTTGAAGTTTGCAGGATTAAACATTCGTAAAAAGGATAGAGAATAGGCTATGAATTTTTCTATAGAATAATTTAAGGATTAATGGTTGATATTTCAATTCCAGAAATTCGACTTATTCTAGACGAATAATTCGTTTTATCGTATGGAGAGCATATTATTTATTTTCAGTTTTTCTTTTGAAAATATGAGAACAATAGTAACATTTGTCTTAGGTACCGTTAGCCAAAATAGGGTTTTTTTTTCTTTTGAAAACGCGAATTCATATATGATTGAATTTTCATTTGTTTAAAATATGCTAATCAACGTATAGCTAGCTTTATACGTTGACTAAAGTAATTATAATAGGATAAACAAATAAAAGATGAATGGAACAAGAATAGAAATTTTTTTTCAGAGATGGCATCGCGGAATGGGCAATAGAATTACAGGGGACCTTAGAGTCAGCTGGTATACTTGCAGGACAACGAATTGGAAGCTTAAAATGGAAAAACAAAAAAGTGTTCCTTTTTTCCAAATAAATAAGTTCAAGAGTATAAGTTACATTCAAAGTTGTATTAAATTTTATACTGTCTTACTATCAGATTTTGTATCTTTGAAAAAAAAAAAAGCTATAAGGGGACATTTACACTCATGACTTAAACATTTACAACTTAAGTAGAATAAAGTAAGCAATTGAATATTTTTCGTTTCCAGGCTTTACTTCATATTGGCCATAACATTATTGAAGGGAAAGAAGTGAAACTTCAAAAACCGCTGATTGTACTTGGACGAGATGCTGAAAACCAAGGAATTGCACAAACTGCTGCTGTGATTCGTAAAAAAGTTCAGTTCCGTGCTCGACCAATGCCTGTGTGATTGATTTGTCATGATTTTGTACCTAAATGTATATGTCTCTGCCTAGCAATTTCTTCACTTTATCTACGATTAGGAGATATATTTCTCAAGATTACTTCTCAAGAGATACAATTTCTCATTAATACTCGAACAGGTCCTATAAAGCGACAGTCATACCCTCAACTCGAAATTTTATGAGCTTTGGTCGCATCTCTCCAGCATAGTATTTCAGCATGTCGGTTTACACATGTATTATATATATGCTTGCCATAACTTCCATGGCACACTTCTCATGGAGTCTGAGAGTTAGGTTACCAAACTTTGTTTGTACAAACCACAAAAACTGAAATAATTTAGAAAGGGTATTCTCTATTTGATGCTTTCTTGACTTTCTTCTATATTTGGTTTCTCTGCTGCACCAAACTTCCTCAGTATATAATAAAGTGAAATCACATATAAATTTTTGCCTACCTTTTATACAGACTGTAAAAACATCATACATAAAATATATTTTTTGAGATATTCGATTAAAAAATGTCTTTCAAAATATTCTTTCGATGATAACGAAATTTGTTTCAAACTTAGACGGCAAGCATATTGTTAATTAACACATTTTTTGGCCGACTGGATCTCAACCCGCATACTATCCCAAAAAATATATAAACTTTATGTAGGAGAATGAGAGAATCCTATTTACGGAAATACAACGCTTAACTTGGAAAGACAGAACGAAAGCAATAGATCAGGACTG